GGCAGCCCCGGGGGGTCCGTGCCCCAGGCCGCCCCCAGGGGGACTGAGGCCTCCCCCGCGAGCCCAGTCCTCTTCGGGACTGCCCCGCTGCCCTCACCTCGACCCGGTTCCCCGCAGGCCGCTCTCCTCCCGCTCCTCCACCACTCTAGCCGCAGCCGCCGCCGCCGCCGCCTCCGCCCGGTCTCAGCGGATCCACAGTCGCCCGCAGCTCGGAGCCGGAAGCGGGAGCCAGCGCAGAGCGAGCGGCGCTTGCGCGACCCGCTCGGGGGCGTGGTCAGGAAGGGGGCGTGGTCACGGGGGCGTGGCCTCGAGGCTGGTAGGTCCCCGCACCTGGGACTTTGCCTTAGGCTCGGCGCCGAGCGACGGGGCGGGGCGGGGCGGGGCGTCGGCTCCGCGGAGGCTGGAGGCGCGGGGACCCCACGGGGAGGGTCCTTGTGGTGAGGGCCAGGGCAGCCTATGAGGCGGGTCTGCGGGGTTGGGGGCGTTCCTCCATAAGAGGCGGGCCAACCCGAGCCAGAATGGCTGGGATGGGAGACCCTGTGTGTGCGGCCGGGATGACCGTGTTGGGGGGATCCTGAGAGGTCGGCGGCGCTGGGGTCCTGGGTGATTCGTGGAGCTGGGGAAGGGGACTTTTATTTTGAGGGACAATGCGGGCCTGGGGGATCTTGGGGTTAGGGGCGCCTGAGAGGAAGTTGGAGTTGGGAGGATCCTGAAGGAAGATCAGTGGGGTGTGTAGGGGAGGGGGCTGGGGAGGGCACCGGGGGCCTGGGATGTCCGGGGAATGGGGAGTTCCTGGTGGGGGGACAAGGAATTGGAGGCATTTTCTAGGGCCAGTGGGAGCCCAGGTGATTAGCACGTCTGAGGAGGGAATCCTGGGGGAGGATCCCCATAGGGTGGAGGGATGTCTTGGGGGTCAGTAGATTGTGTGTGCGGGGCGGGGGGTGGGGGGGGGGGGGGTGCCGTATTTGGCAGTATCTAAGGGGAACTCCTCCTCTGGCAGCAAGGATTAGAGAGGGCAGGGTCTGTTGACAAGGCCCAGCGTAGATTACAAGGTGGATCTGGGAAAAATGAGTCATATACCTCACAGGTGTTCTCAGACACCCCAACACAGGTAGCGTCAGCTATCCCAAACACATAGACACCCAGGCAAGTGCCACCAAATTCTCCAAACAGGCTTCCAGCCACCCTGAAACATGTCAGACACCCTACCTAGATCCGTTGGAAATCCTCAAACATTCAGGTGTAAAAATCAAGCCAAATATTCAGAAAGCACCAAACACTTCTACTTAGGAGCCAGCAGATACCCTCAACAAGCTTTTGGACACTCAGAAACATATCCAAGACCCTACATGGGAGCTTTCAGTTACCCCAAAACACACACCAGATATTTCCAATGCGGATATTATCAGACACCTGCAAACAGGTGTTGAGAATCTGAAACACATTCCAGATCCCTCCTTGCCAGGTGCTGTTAGACTACCTGTAGACATGCCAGATACTGCCGCAATGTCAATCCCCCAGGTGCCATTGCATTCCAACCCTGAAGCTATTTGTCCAATCCAGGTCCCTCCCACCCCAGGTGGGGCAGTTGGGCAGTAACCAGGAGTGGAGCTCAGTGATTCTAAAAGTTCAGGCTGGTTAATAGGCCAAGAAGATCTCCCCAAACCAAATTCACTTCAGCACACACAGTTACATTGTCAAGAGCTCTCAGTATGGAAGTTGGTGTGGGGTACGGTGTGGGGCAAGTGATAGCACTCAGGTTAGGTCCAGACTTTTAGTCAAGAGACGGAGCATGTCTAAGGAACAGGAGGTTCCAGAAAGGTACAGACATAGTTCATTAGACAGTCCTTCCCAGTGGCCAGATCATGGAGTCTGGGTGGCCGAATGGTGGGAGAGAAGTGGAAAGGTAGGTGGGGTCAGACTCTGAAGGGCATTGAAGGTCAGGACCAGGAATAGGACTATGTGGATTGGTTTCTGGGAAAGCATCCCAGCTTTCCCCTGGAGACCACCTGCCCTAATTACCTGGAGCATGACCCATTCTCTATTCTGTTTACCACACTGCCAGCCTGCTCCTCTATATGACAGTCACATCTGGCCCTGGATACCTCTGAGGCATAACCGGGGGCACCTGTTGGAAATGAGGTGCATATACTGGTGGTACATGCGTCCCGACACAGGTGTGAAGGCAGCTGTGGTCAGAACACATGATTTAAATGCTTTCATTGCCTCTTGCTGGTGAAAGACCTTAGATGACAACAGCAACAAACACAATAATGATGGTGATGGGGAGGGGGAGGAGGGTGACACATAGTACCACTGCCTCTGTGCACCAGGCACTATGCAAAGTGCTACCTTTTACACACACTCAAATCTTCCTTGATCTCAAAGGCTATATTTGTAAGGGACTTATTGCTCCGCAGGTCACGGTAAGCCACCCTGCTGGGTTTGGCTGGTTTGCTGCTGGATAACCTGGCTCAGGGGTGAGCCCTCCAGTAAATATTTCCACCTTTGCAGGCCTTGCTGCAAACTACTCAGTTCTGCCATTGTTGCCTGAAAGCAGGGACAGGTAATACGTGTACAAACCAGTATGGCTGTACACTAACAAAATCTTATTTATGCACTCTGAAATATGAATTTTGTACTATTTCATGTGTCCCCAAATATTCATTTCCAGCCACTTAAAAATGTTAGGAAAAAATTCTTAGCTTGCAGGCCATACCAAAAGCTGGATTTGACCCTAAGTGCGCCTGAGAGTGGGAAACTAGCCTTGTTTTAAGAGAAAACTGTAGACACTGAGGCTGAAATCATGGGTGGACAGGAAGACTCCTAGGAACAGTGGTTCTCAACCAGAGGTGATTTTTGCCTCCACGGGCATTTGATAATGTCAGGAGACATAACATTTGTGATGGTGACAACAGGGGGGCAAAAGAGGTTGCTGTTGGCATTGAGGTGCCAGTCAACATCCCTGCAGCCTGTATACTGCCGTTCAGTGCACAAGTTAGGTCTTCATGCAGAAGAATGAACTGGCCCCAAACGTCTGCAGCGGAGGTGGAAAAACCTGCCTTAGAGTAGGAGGTGGCGTGTAGCCAACTAATGCCATCCAGAACTCTAGGGCGATCTTGTGAAAATGCAAATTCTACTTCCATCGGTCTCAGTTGGGTTTATCTAAGTCCCCTAAGGACAGTGAGACTGCAGGTGAATGGCCCACAAAGACACACAAGTCCTTTAATGACACAAAAATTGAGCAGAGAGACCTCAGGATTTTTTCTGAGAAGCACTGAGAAAAAAAGGAACAGAAATTAAAGGACAGTGATGAACAAGGAAGCAGCAAGGCAGGTGATAAGTGAGGGATTTGGCTGCACCTGTTCAAACAAGCACTCTCAGGAGCAGGCTTCCGGCACCTGCTCTGTGCATGCAGGCTTGACTCTGGATTTTTGCCCTTCCTTCTGCCAACATCCCACCTGCCCCTTGAATTGGATGCCTAATCAAGATCCAGCGAGCCCCACCCGCTGCAGAAGAGAACAGAATAACAGGAGGAACAGGAAGCTACCTGCTACTTAAAATTAAGGGCCTCATAATGCTCCAGTTGTCAGCACATGCAAGACTTCTGCAAAGCTAATGCAAGCCTTGGCTGAACACAGCTCATGTATGACAAAGTTCACTGGAGATCACCTTCTGGAGAGAAAGCTCAAAGCTGGACATCAATGAAATGCCCGTAGCCCCCTTAGTCAGCAAAATAGCACTCTGGGAAGAGTAGGGACAAGGAAGAAGGCAAATACCCAAGGCTGGGGCAAGCAGAGTCAAGAAATGCAGAACCTGAAGCTCAGATCAGGGGCAGGCTCCTGCCCAGTGGGTGGAGAATGTTGCTTTCACTACGCGTTCTGGGTCCACTCTAGGGCCTGCAGTTATCTTATTAGCCTGTTAAGTGTCATCCAGGACCATCTCAGAGGGGACTTTGGGCAACATTCGGAGACATTTTTGGTTGTCACAACTGGAGACAGGATGGTTGCTATTGGGTCTAGTGGGGAGGGGCCAGGGATGCTCGGCAGCCCTCCATGCTGAGGAATTACCTGGCCCTGAGTGTTAGTAGCGCTGAGGTCCAGAAACTTTGAACTTGCCTGAGTCCTGCCTGTAAACAGTCTGCAGATTGGATCCTCAATACAAAACACACACACACACACACACACACACACACACACCACACACACAACCAGAGCTCTTCTTTCAGAGCTTTTGGAGCTTGATGCTATTTCTGAGCAGAGACTCTTGCTGTCCCCACCACGGAGAGCTCCAGGGTGGACAATGCCTGTTATGGGTTCCACTGTCCCTGCCCCGCATTCATATGTTGCGGTCCAACCCTCCTCAACACCCAGTACTCCAGAATGTGCCCTTTTTAGGAAATAAGATCTTTGCGGATGTTCTTAGTTAAGATGAAGTCACTTGGAGTAGGGTGGGGCCCCTAATCCAACATGACTGGTGTCCTCAGAGAAAGAGGAAATTGGGACCCTGGCGCGCACACAGGGAGAACATCATGTGAAGACTGGAATTGTGCTGTCAGAAGCCAGGAGAGGGACCTGGAACGATCCTTCTCTGGCACTTCAGAGGGAGCTGCATCCTGGAGGTACCTTGATCTCAGACTTCCAACCTCCAGAACTGTGGGGCGATAAATTTCTGGCGTTTCAACCAGTGGGCACCTGGCACTTTCTCACGGCAGCCCCCTCAAAGGAATACCTTGTCAGAACCCAGAGTCTGCAGGAGGACTCTTGTAATAACACAAGTGGGCATGTAAAGGGAATTTTGCCAGTTCTCAGATAACCCAAGGGGCCCTGTCCTCAGGGCCTGATCCCCGGTTCTATCCAGGGAGCCGCCAAGATCTGCTGCACAGGGCAAGGGTGAAACAGAGTGAGGCTCTACAGAGCAAAGGTGGCCGAGAGCAACTGGAAGACTGGAAAGGAAGACAGCGGCTGCCTCCAGGGACTGGATGGGGCCGCTGGACTCACCGGAGCTCAGGAAGGGTTTGCTGCAGAGCGGGCAGCTGGAGTGACCCAGGAAGGTTCCTCGCACCAGCTGGTGTCCGTTGACACATTCCCGCCTCTCTCGAGCTTCCTGAGTCTTGTCCTTTACATGTGCTGGGCTCTTCCCCTGTGTGCGACAGGGGTGGGTCACAGGATGCCCTCTGTCAGGGCTGGTCCTTTCATACCCTGTGCATCAGCCCCAGCTTGAATCCCAGGGCTCCGGGGTCAAGATGGCTCTGTGGAGCTGAAGAAGGAGAAGGGAGCCCCCGGCCCAGCCCCCTGACCTTTTCCTTCTGCCTGGTGACCCGGCTGCGGAGGGAGCTCAGACTACGCTTCACCCTGGTGCTCTTGTCGTTCTTCTCATTCTTGCTGGCACCATCCTCGCTCCTGGGGGCAGGGGAGGCCGGTCAGAAAGGGGCTGCAGCCATCCTGGACTCTCTCCCCTGTGACGTCCCAATCCTGTCTTACTCTTCGCAGGATCCCTGGCTCCTTTGTTCATTCACTCAACAAACATGTGCAGGGTTTGCAATGTTTCTGGAGCTAGGGGGCCTGGGTCTGCAGAGGGAAACGCCACATAGTCTCCAGCTTGAGGTTCCAGCCTGGTCCAGAAATGGCTCCATCCACCTCTGACCCCTCCCTCTAATCCATACCCACCTCCTACCTGCCTCAGGTCTTATTGGTATTAATCCTCCCCCTCCCAGCAACACTGTCACTGTACGTCTCCCCTAAATGACTGCCGGTACACAGTCATTTAATAAATATTTATAAGGCTGGTGACAAACAAGCCAGCCACGCTTCCAGCCCTGGCAGAATCTATGCCCTGGAGGGAGACTCCGCTCCTCCAGCCCCCATGGCTCCCGGAACAATGCTAATCTCTATAAATGTTTGTTGAGTGAATGCGTGAGTGAGTCAGGGACCCTCTGTCCTGTCTGAGGTCCCCGTCCTCTGTCACCATCACTGATTATGCCCGAAGTCCCATTGCTGCTTAGGATAAAATCCGTGCTCAGGAATCCTGACCCAGGGATGCCCCGCCCCACTGCAGCCACCTGCAGCAGCTCTTGACACTTACTCAGACAGGAACTCAAACCAGGTGAGGTTCGACTGGGCATCCCCAGGGCTGCAGGACATGCGAGCCCTCTGCCGGGCCCTGCAGGATCAGAGGCACAGACGCCTGGGTCAGCAGCCGCCCAACTCTCCTCCTGCCCCACCTTCCTCCCAGGCTTCAGGGCACAGGTGCCAGGGCTAAGAGCCCACCAGTCCTTGACCGGTAGCCTGCTCACATAGACCCTGTGACAGGGTTTGTGGCAGGGACCAGTGACATCGGCCAGACAGTACCAGCACGAGGGGAATGTTCTCTGACAGATACGGTGTCTTAGGAAGGAGGCACTCTTCCACATCTGCCAGGCTCGCGGCAGCTGGCTCCTCCCCGATCCTGTCCCCTGTTTCTCCCTCATTGCTCCCTGACTTCTTTATACCTGTCCCTCATAGCTGTCTACCCCCATACCTGTCCCCTGACACCTGTTACCCTCAACTTGTGTTCCCCACACTTCTCCCAACCAGTCTCCATGTCTGTCCTTCCCTATACCTGTCCCCCACACCTGTCCACTGCTGTACCTATTGCCTCACTCTCCTCTCACACCTGTTCCTCTATGTCTGTCCACTCACACCTGTTCCTGTAAACTCGTGTTCCTCACACTTTTCCCTCGCCTGTCTCTGCATCTGTCCCCTATGCCCGTCCACCCCTACGCCTGCCCTCATACCTGTTCCTCACACCTGACCCTTCCCCACTTACCCATGGTACTGGCGAAGTTCTTGAAGCACTTGCTGAACAATCAACCTGCGGATAGGTGGGAGGAAGGAGCCCACAGTCACCCCATTCCCCAGGATGAGTCGTGAGCCCTGGGCAGGGCTTGGCTCCTGGTGCAGCCCGATCTGGGAATCCCAACCCACTTCCCAGTGCCAGGTGGAGACCCATTCCAGGGGGCCTCTGTCCCTTCCCTGGGAGAAGGATGGTCTGGGAGAGAAGTCCCAGGTTATGAGGACTAAGTGGGAAGGTGACTGGCCCCGGACACTTACGGCCAGCCATGCTGCTCCCTGTACCCTCTGCCCTGGCCCCCACCCCCAGGCAGCCCCCTGACCCTCCACGGGGCAGACACTCACACCTGGTCTGGCTCCACGTGGTCCTTTTCCAGGCACTCCAGCACGGGCGGGTCCAGGCCTAGAAGCAGCCCCCAACGAGGGCACAGGTGAGAGGGCCCAGCCCTGCAGCCGCCCACCCCAGTCCCCTGGACACCACCCTGATGGGACTTGTCACTCTCGGGGAGGAGAGGAGGAAAGAGGACAGAGAGCCAGGGAGGAAAGTGTCCCCAGCGCCCTGAGCTCTTCTGTTAAGTACTTCACAGGTGTGAGCTCAGCGAACTCCAGCGGCCCAAGGAGATAGGCTCATTGTCCCTCCTTATGGAGAAAGCCACAGGGGCACGGACTGGCCTGAGTGCGGCCCACTGGGGTTTAGACAGGAGGTCTGACTGACACCGGAGATTCAGAGACAAAGGTGGGGGGGCAAGGAGAGAGCAAGGGGAGGGGGGAGAGAGAGAGAGAGAGAGAGAGAGAGAGAGAGAGAGAGAGAGAGAGAGCATGTGCCCCACGGGAGAGCAGGGGAGACCCAGGGTGTATGGCAATGTCACTGCAATGGGCTATCTGCCCTGGTTTGAAGACCCCGGGGGAGGGAGGGCAGATGCAGAAGGTGTCTTCCCACCTCTGGACCAGCAGGACTGCCCAATTCCTACCCAGGGGACCCTAAGCCCCTCCACCAGCCTTTGTCCCTGGGTTTCCCCCATGGGACCTTTTAGTGGAACCCCATTCCCTGTCCCCTTCCCTCCCAGACCTGGTGTGAATGAGGAGCACTCTAGGCCAGGCTACCTTGTACAGATGGGGCTGGCACTTCCAAGCCAGGAGCAAGTTCCAGGGAGCTGATCTCCTCGCAGGACAGGGGAACTGACCTGGACCTCACTCTTGGCTGGGGGCTGCCACATTTCTGCAGGGAATAAGCACCTCCTTGAACCTGGGACACAGCCTGGCTGCAGGCAGTTTCCCCAGATCAAGGGCCCCAACCACGTGTAGCCAGGGCTACAGTCACAGAACTTGGGGACACAGTTGCCCCAGCCGAAGGACACTGACATGGCCATAATGTCCATTGCCATGGGCCAGAGCTCTGGCGAGGATCCCCAGCTGTGGGCTGGCCTCAGGTCTGAGAGGAGCCCTCGCCAGCTGCAGACCCCTTCCCCTGCAGACGCAGCCACCAAAGGCCCTCTGAGCCTGGCCGGGTGCTCATCAGCTGCATTTGTGGCCGAGGTCCTCTGCCCACCCCAGGGGTACCTCACGGACCTGGGATGCTGCTATGGTTTGCATATGGCCTCCCCCTCCCCCTCCCATGCTGGAGTCTGTGCCCAGTGCGAGGAACTCAGAGGACAGAAACTTCATCCCAGTATGGTGTTAGAGTCAGGCCTTTGGGAGGTGACTGGCTCAGATAAGGTCACCAGGGTGGAGCTCCCATGATTGAATCCTGCCTGGTGGCTATATAAGAAGAGAGACAGAGAGAGACCAGAAAACACTCGTGGTCCCTGTCCCTCACGCTGGGACTTTGGCAGCAAGAAGGCCATCACCAGATGTAGTCCCTTAACCTTGGACTTCTTTGAATCACCAGCCCAAACAGACCTCCTTACCACTTATCGGGTCTGTGGGGGTTGTGCTATTAGCAACAGAAAGAGCATGGCCTGCTCAGATGGACTCTCAGGGGGGAGACGCCCCCTTCATAAGTGAGTTCTGCGGCTCTGGGAGGCGCCCTCTCCGCCTGCAACAGGCCTCCAATCGCAGAGGTGTGCTATTGTGCACAGCTGCAGGCCACACCCACCTTGCCTGGGTGTTCTGCTGGGGTCTCATCCCCAGACAGACACCGCTGGGTCCAAGTTTTCAGCCCCTCTCCTGACAGATTCAGAGTAAGGCTAGCCAGTGTCCGAGGGAGACAGGGTCCCGCATCCGAGGCTGAAGCATCAAGGCTGAGCCTGGGGAGACGGGAGAGTATCAGGGCTTCAGTCTTGTTTACCTGACCACTGCCCCAGGCATCCAAGGGCTTGAGGGGACCTGCAGGGGCCCTTCCAAGTCAGGGAGGGGTGTGTAGGTCACAGAGAGAGCTTCCTCACATAGGAGGGGTCTGCATTAGTATGGAGGAAGCCTGGTTAGATTTGCCAATGCTACATTTGCATCGCAGACCCACCTTTTGGCACAGACTAGATTCCTATTTGGGGTGATGGGAGGGATGGAGGGACAAGGGTGGGCAGCTAAGACCCCTCTTCATTGCTGCTGCTGCTGTGGGGTGCATGGAGCTGAACATGTATCTGTGTTTGGATCACAAGTGATCTCTGACGTGGTGCATGTTGCATAGGCAGTGTGCAAACCACGCCCCTTATTGGCTTCCAAGGGCAAATGTGCAAATTGTGTAGGCTGAGCGTGGATGTGCTCAGGAAAGTGTGCCCGGGCTGGCGTGTGCCCAGGCTGGTGTGTGCCTGCCGTGTGCAGCGCCGTCTTGGATTTGGCTTGTGCACGCACATTTGATCAGCACACAAGTGGATTCGTGTGCCCTCACAGGCTCCATGCTAGTGCATGCAGGTGCGTTCTGCATGCCACTGGGTGTGCCTACATGCACGTGGGTCTGTAGGCACATACATGTTCATGCAAGCTCATGTCCAGGCTGCCTCTGACAGTGCAGACACCCTCGTGGCCCTGGAGCTAGACGTTGCAGGCATGGGGTAGCAGTGTATGCTGGAACCTGGCCCTGGCTTTCCAGACCCCTGCCTTGTTCTGGGGGTGCACCACGAAGGTGTGCAGTGGTGGGGTGTGGGGCAGAGGGGGCTCACCTCTGCCAGCTCCCTGAGCAGCTCCGGGACCTCTCCCAGCTCCGTCTCCGTCTCCGTCTCCATGGCAGGACCTGGGCCCCTGCTGAGCTGGACAAGGGCGAATCTCTTCCACCTTCTTTGTTACGGGGGGTGCTGCCCATGGCCTCCCCAGGCTGGCTGTGTGAAGCGGCCCCTAGACCCAGGTCCTGGAGATATTCGCTGCCCTGAAGGGCTTCCAAATCCAGGCTGAGGTCCTCCGTGCTCTCACTGAGCGGCGCTGGAAAACCATCTTCCTATAGGTTGTGGGAGAAGAAAGCGTTGACCTGGGGCAGCAAAGCCAGGATCTCCTGGCCGTGAGACCTCCATGCTCAGCACCCAGGCCCTGCCTATGTCCCTCCGGTTCAACCTGTCCCCCAAGGGCCACGCCTTACCTTATCATCCTCATCTGATCATCATGGACAGTCACCTCTGCCCTCCTGCTCACCAGCTAGTGTCTACTCCTAGTTGACATACAATCACTGTACATATTCACCGGGTACAGTGTGACAATTTTGCTACATGTATACAATGTAACCATCTAATGGGATAATTTTAAGTATCAGAGAGAGAGGCTTTGGATTCCTCTCTAATTCTTCATAAAATATGTAAGAAATTATTGTAAACTATAGTCACTCCACTGTGCGGTAGAACATCAGGGCTTACTCTTCCTAACTAACTGGCTTTGGGGACCTGTTATCCAACTCGCCAGCTTATTTTAAGGCACATGAAAGCTGATGTCTGTGATCCCAGTTTGTAAAAGCTCTGTGTGGAGACAGGCAATTGTTGGTGCCGACGGTGCAATTTCACTCAGTGTCCGAGCTCCTCGCCTCTTTCTTGGACTGCTTAGGGGATCTCCTCGCAGGTCTCCTGGACCCTAAGTATCTCTCCCAAGCCAGGAATGGTGAGCCAATTGCCTTGGATACAAAATGCAAGTGGGTGCCAAAAAAAAACCCTCAGTTGCTCAGATAAATATTTTAATGCAATATGTTTTAAAACTCAAAAGTAATGCAAGGTGATCCATGGTGAATATATTACCCAAATTTTAAATAATAACAGTATAGGTTGAATGTCTCTTATTCAAAATGTTTGGGAACAGTAGTGTTTCGGATTTCAGGTTTTCTGAGATTTCACAATATTGGCATGTACACAATGAGGTAATGTGGGCATGGGATCCAAATATAAGCATGAATTTGTTTCTGTTTCACACACACATTATGCACATAGCCTGAAGTCATTTTATGCGCATTTCGTGGTGCACCTGTGTTTTGGCTGTGACCTGTCCCATGTAGTCGGGAGTGGAATTTTCTATTCATAGGGTCTGTCTGGTCAGTGCTCCTGAAAGTTTCGGCTTTGGGGAGGGAGGCTTTGGATTTGGGGTTTTCAGATTAGGGATGCTCGGTTTGTATTGCACCCTGCGTTTGTGCTGCTCGCTTTATCCACCTTCCACTGGTCTCAGCCCAGACGTCTCCCACCACAGTGGAGCCTGAAACTTGGAGCTGTGAAGCCCCTTTAGCAACTTCTCTCCCTGGCAGGGTAGGGAGACCCAGACTCCTCAGCTCAGCACAAAACATTCCAAGCTTGTCCACCTCCTGCCTGGCCCCCTTGCAGCCTCATCTCCAACCCACCCAGGAGGCAGTGAGGTGCCAGGCACTGTGAGACACCAAAGAGGCAGAGATGTGGACAACGCCCAGGCGCTACCGGAATTTCTCACCCTGATCCCAAGTTGCCTGATCTCTAATCCCTCAATGGCTCCACCAGGGGGCGCTGTGCTTCCTTCCACGGTGCAGATCAGAAGCCTGAATCTTGTGGAGGAGAAAGGACTCACCCCGGCCACACAATGACCAGCAGAGCCAGACTCAAACTCAGGTTTGCTTAAAATGTAGCCTTATGTTCCTCATGGACTGTTCTCTCTCCTCTTCTCTGGCCTTTGCTTCTCTTTCCTCCTCCCAGTCATGCTATCTTTCCAGAGAACCGTCCTTCCGTCCTTTCCCCTGCTTGGAGAACCTCTGCTTGCGCTCAACCCATCCAGAGATGGCCCTGTGAGCCCCTGTGCATCCTTCAAAGCCCAGATTGGGAATGCACTCCAGGCTGCCTCCCAGACTCCTTGAGGATCTGCAAGACAGGAGCTGCCCCTTCTCTGTCTTTGTTGGGACTCTCCCCAGGCTTTGGTGGGGAGCTGGGTGGGTGGGCCGGATCCATGGCTCCACGTGAGGCCCATGCTGAGGCGTGGACTAGGCTTCTGTGCCATCTCAGGCAGCCCTTGATGGGCTCTGCTGATTGGTGGCCTAAAGCAGGCCACTGAGGGGAACCGGTCCCTTTTGTACATTCTATAGGAAGTCCCCATGATAGCATTGACAGATGAAACATAGACACCCAGTTCAATCTGGATTTCAGATAAGTAGCAAACACGTTATTCATGAGTATACCCCAGATGTGGCAATATTTGAGATTCAAATCAAACCGGTGTCTTGCAGTTTCATTTGCTCTGCCTGCGAACCTACCCCAGGGCGGCCCAGCCAGGCTGGGTCCGTCTTTCCCAGGTTAGGGAAGAATACAGAAGCCCCCCACTAAAGCGTAGTGGGGGGCATTCCCAGACGGGTTTCTTGGCTGAGATGGAAAATACCTGGCAGCCCAAAGCCAGGCCTTCGGTCAGCTGTGGATTTTGGTAGACAGGAGGCAGAGGGCAGGGTCCCCACCTGCCTGGGGTGAGGCAGGCCACTCCACCTGCATTAACCTCTCCACGGGTTGGGCCTCTTCCTCCTTTTCTTCTTATTATGGTAAAATGTGTGTAACATGACAGTTGCCATCCTGACCGTTTCTGCGAATCCATTTCAGTGGCATTAGTCCCCACTCACAATGTCCCACCTCAGAACGCTCTCATGGCCCCAGGCTGAAGCTCTGCCCCCTTCAGCACCTGCTCCTGCTCGGTTCCAGCCCGGGCTCCCCGGGGACCTCCTGTGAGTGGATCCTGCAGAGTGTGTCCTGTGTCTGGCTCTCCCCGAGCAGCGCCCTCTGGGTTTGTGCAGTTGGAGCCCGTGACCGAAGGCTCCCTGGCCGGCTGGCTGATGCTCTGCCATCTGGACACAGCGCGCATCTTTATGTGGTGTGATTCCTGCATCACCCGACACCAGGGCGACTTCCGCCTGGCTGGTGGGAAGAACGCGTCTCTCTTTGCGCCCAGCTTTCCATTCTCGGGGGCGAGCGCCCAGAGGCAGAGTCGCGTGTGTGGTCACGCTCACCTTTCCGCAGCCCCTCCGTGCTGTTCTCCTCAGCCCTTCTTGCACCTCTCTGAGGCTTGGTCATTCTTGCCCTCTGTTTCCCTGCTCGCTCCTTCTCTTCCTCCTCTCTCTTCCTTTAAACACCGTATCCCTGGATTGTATGGAATACCTGTGGTTCTGGCCCAGGTGGGCTAAGGACCGCCTGGCCCCGATGTGACTTCCAGGGCAGCCTCCTTTCGGATCTGGCCTTTCCCCCCAGGCTCTCCATTCCCAACCCCGGTGCCTGGACAGCCTCCTTCTGACGCCGTCTCTTTACCATTGCCCCCCAAGGTTTCCTGGCGTCTCTGGTTTTCATCCTCTACAAATATAAACACGTCAGGACAGCCTCTCGGCCCAGCCTGGGCCTCCCTCCTTCTCCTGCATCTGGCCTCCCTCATCGGAGGCAGAGGTGGGAGCCGGGCCAGAGCTGGGGGGAGAGGGGGCCTGGTCAACGGTGGCACAGGCTGTCCAGCTCTCCTCCAGAAGGTGCCCAGAGCTGGGGAGGGCTCACCCTTTGCTTGGAAGTTTGTGCCCATCCTCTGACTTATTTCCTGGGAGAGGAAAGACAGGCGGCAGCCCGTGGGGGCTTTTGCTGGCTCTGGTTAAACATTACGCTGGTCCTGACCATCCATCCGGGCTCGCGCTGTCCAGATCCAGGGGAGCCTGGGGGATGGGCTCCCCCAAGTCAAACCCAGAAGGCTAAACATTCCAGGGCTCCCCATTCTGGAGGGAATGCACAGACACGCTTTCATTTCAAAAGCGTCAGCGGCCATCCGTCCTGGTGTCTGCCGGGAAGCGAAGACAACTCACCCAAGGAGTCAAGCGTATTGCTTCTCTGGTCTCATTTTGCTCTGTTTAAAAGTGACTTAATTTCAAAACAAGATGGCCAGTAAGTACAGGCTGAGCATCCCTGACCCCAAATCCAAGTGTTCCAAAAGCCGAAACGTTCTGAGCCCAACATAACCCACAAGTGGAAAAATCCCACACCTGACCTCATGTCCGGTCACAGCAAAACGAGCAAAATTCAGAGACCCTAAAAATGAAAAAGGACCTTTGGGCTATGTGTATGAGGTGCATGCAAGGCATAAACGAACTTCATGCGGGGACTGGAGTCCCATTTCCCATACGCAATGACTCCCAAATCCGAAAGAAAACAATTCTGAGACCCAAATACTTCTGGCCCCAAGCAGCTCGGATAAGGGATCCTCAAGCTGCAGTAAGGCTGCCGAATGGAGGCCACAGCCACTGGGCATTCCTGCTGTGGCTTCGTTAGCTCAGCGTGACCCCAGACCCGCTCCTAGGCCTGACTGACCCTTGGTTTTTCTGTCTCTAAAATGGGTGCACTGCTGCCCTCCACGTCCATGACGTCCTGTCCTCATGGAGCTGAGTGGAGAAGGCTGAGGATGGCACCCAGCTCCTACTGTCAACTGCGATAGAAGTGACCAGGCAGTGGGCTAGGGGAGAACTGGGGGGCAGCTGTCCTTGTCCACAGGGCGTTAGGGAGGGCTTCCTGGAGGAGGGGACAGCCAACAAAGGCCAGAATGAGAAGAGTTGCTATGCAGAGGCTGCCGGTGAGACATCAGCGGGCCAGCTGGAAGCTTCCGCCAGTAGCCACGGGGGGCCTGGCGGGTGGAGTGGCCACAGTCCTCCTTCAGAAAGCCCATTCGGGGTGCAGAGCGGAGATGGGCTGGATGGGGCCAGGATGAAGGCTGGGAACCGGGTAAGACCCGTGAGGTCACCAGGGTGAGCCATCAAGGTGGCGTCCACCAGGGCGGTGGCAGGAGGGCGAGCTGGATGGAACTGAGGGCTCACCAGGGCTCAGCGTTCGAGGGACTTGGCAGCTGACAGGAGGGCGGGAACAAGGACAAGGCCCAGGTCTCCAGCTCTGGTGGCCAACGGGGTGACGATGACAGGATTGCAGAAGAGAGACGGACTTGCCGCAGGGACAGAGCCTCCCTCCCAACGCCCAGGGCTTTCTGTCTCTCCGGGGCCCATGGTTTCTCTGTCTCTGTGTCACCCACCCAACCGCCTGCCGCCCTGGTCCAGGTCTGGGACAGGGCTAGGACCGACACCTGGGCCATTCTCACCCAAGCAGGGTGATTCTGGGGGTGGGACAGTCACCTCCGAGCCCCTTGCCCAGGAGTCGCCTGCTTTCCTGGGTAACCCACCAGCAGTGGCCGACTGACCTGAGGACATTAAGGCTGGGCCATCTGCCGCTGTTTGAATGTGTTTTCCCTGAGTTCGTGGGTTGGAAGCTTGGTCCTCAGGGCGGTGGGGTTGGGAGGCAGCACGGAACCTTCCAGAGGTGGGACTCGGTGGGAGGGCCCTCGGCCAGCTGGGAGTGTGCCCTTGGAAAGGGTCGTGGGACCCAGGCTCTCTGGCTTCTCGTTCCCACATGTGCTCTGGCCATGGTGCCACTGACCTCAGGCCTTGCGATGATTTGGTTGTGGGCAGTGTCCCCCAGAGGTCCGTGGGTTGAAGGCGTGGCCCCCCGGTTTGGCCTTGTTGGTTTGGACCTGAGGTGCGCCCCAAACGCTCCTGTGTTGATGCAGGAGGTGGATGGTGAGATCACGGCAGCCGGCCCCTGACCGGGCCAGCCTAACCTGAGAGGACTAAGCGGGCAGGTCCCAGCTTCCGCGTAGTTGGAGGCAGTTAGACGGCCGGGGCCATGCCCTGGGGGACTGTATCTTGTCCTCCTGCTCCCTGCCCTCCCTGTCCCGAGCTGCTTTCCTCGGCCACGCCCTTCTGCCATCGTGCTCTGCCTCACTTGGGCCTGGAGCAATGGAGTCGCCTGACCCCAGACTGGACCTCTGAAACCATGGGCCAAGTAAACTCTTCCTCCTCTAAGTTGTTTTGCCAGGCATCTTGGTCATGTGAAAAGTTGGCTAACAGCACTTTTGGGAGGTGCCAGAGCCATTGAGAGGTGGGGCCTCGCGGAAGATCCTTAGGTCACCAGGGAGGGGCATGTCCGTGAAGGGAACACCAGGTTCTCAGTGTCTCTTATGCTTTCTGGTTTATGAGGTGAGTGGTTTTCTCTGCTATCACTCCTGCCTCTCTCCCCAGAGCCCCAAAGTAATGGGGCCACTCAATCTTGCATGGGAACCTCCAGAACCATGAAACAAAATAACCCTTTTCTCTTTATAAATTAATTTCCTCATGTATTTTGTTATAGCCATGAAAAGTGGACTAATAAATACACCATCTCAGATCAACTCCTTCTGCATGTGCTCCCTGGGAATCCAATTCACACCACTTGGTCATCTCTATCCCTAGCAGAGCTGGAGTGGAGCTGTGTTCATGAAGCCATGACTCGGCCCCTTCTTCCTCAGGATTACACCCCCCCATCCCAGTGGGGCCTTTCCCCAGAAGCAGGCTGGAGGTTGTCATGAGGACATTAGACAAAATCTCAATCCTATCTCCAGCTTCAACCACACAGCAGAGGGTCTGATGTGAAGCAAGTCTTCCTTCCATCTAGCCTATTTATTCTTCCATCCATCAATCTACTTATCTATCCATCTATCCATCCACCCACCCATCCATATATCCATCCATCCACCCATCCATCTATCCATCCATCCATCCATCCATCTATCCATCCATCCATCCATCCATCCATCCATCATCCATCCACCCACCCATCTATCCATCCATCTATCCATCTACCATCCATCCATCCATCCATCCATCCATCCATGCATACATCCATTATCCATCATTCCCTCCCTCTTCTTATTCCAGAAAGGACTCCAGTCCCTCATCTGTCACACAAGATGGTAACCACTTCACCCCTCTTCAGTGAGAGCTCACTGAGACTGGGTAAAAGGCGGGTGCTACACAAAGTGCACTTGCTGCCCCTGTTGTCACGGGCTCCTGCCCTTCTCACAGCCAGACACCTGCCTGCTCATCCTCCATGGTGGAGATGAAGTCGGGGCTCTCAGGTGTCCAGGCTTCGCGACTTCTCTTGGTGGCCAAGGTGGCAGCTCTGGAGTCAAAGGGTTGGACGCATGGCTTGGGCTCAGAGCCTGTGGAGGAAGGAGGGACAGGTGTCAGGGCCGAGCTGGGAGGGCAGAAGAGGCCAGGACCTCGGTTCTGCACCTGCCCCTGCTCACCCGGGTTGTTGGGATGATGGGAAGAGGGACGAGGTCTTGGCAAAGATTTTTCGGTGACCTCGAGGCCACTGTGTGCGCTACCTCCCTCAGCCTGAGCCTACGGCAGACATTCCTAGTCAAGCACGAGACTCTTTCCTGCTGAGCGTTTGCTCTATTTTGAGCAGCCATTGCTAGCCGATCCAAGTTGGTTCATGAGTGAAACTGACTCACTACGCGTGTTCCAGCAAAATCCCCATCTGCAAGGCAGTGCGAGAGGATCCACAGACCAAATGCAAGTTCCTGATGCAGGAGAGGCTCTAATGGGGAATTTCAGTCTCCCTGTTTCTTTCCACATACCCTCATCTCCCTTCTAACCTTGGAGTCCCAAAGACCCAGAGTTCCGGGGACCTGCGGGCAGCACAGTGGAGAGGAGAAAACAAGGACCAGTCCACCAGACTGGTCCTTCCAGAACCTTCCAGTAATGGTTGTACAAGTTTGAAAAGTATCCAAGGTTCCTGTTCACTGTACAGCGGGGATTCCCTGTGGCTGGGTGGATCCCACCTCCCCGTCCTCCTGTTCCAGGGTACTTATGGCAGGTAGGAAGATACCCTGCACGGTGGCCACCGTGTCCATAGCTGTTGTAGCCAGCAGAGGAGGGAGAGGGAGGTGACGCCCCTGCCCACCCCAATGTGGGATGAACCAAGGGAGGGGGAGGGGATGGGCTGTCTGTACCCACTTCATATTCAGGGGTGGGAGCTGGGGCAGATGGAGAAGGTAGGTCAATAGATACAAGTATGTGAATTTCTTTTCTTTTTTCTTTTGTATTTTAGGTTGAATTCAGGGGCACTTAAACACAGTCACATCCCCAGCCCGTAGGTATATATATTTTAAAATATTTTTAGATGTTGATGGACCTTATTTTATTCACTTATTTATATGCGGTGCTGAGAATCGAACCCAGTGCCTCACACATGCTAAACAAGTGCTCTACCACTGAGCCACCACCCCAGCCCTTATTGTTATTCTTTATTTTGAGATAGGGCCTCACTGAGTTGCTAAGGCTGAACTTGCACTCCTCCTGCCTCAGCCTCCTGAGCCACTGGGATGACAGGTGTGCGCCACCATACCTGGCTCATGAGTTTTTTTTTTTTTTTCATTAGGTTAATGAAAATATTCTAAAATTGATGTGGTCTCGGGTGCACAACTCTGTGAGTATGCTAAAAACCGTGGGCTTGTACGCGTTAAGTTGGTAAATTGCATAGTAAGTGAATTATATCTCAACAAACAGTTACAACCCAGTGTGGCGCTGGCCCCGGGCCAAGCCCTGGAAGGCAGACACCGGCAGCCAGGGCTCCAGAGCCACCCTCCCTGTGGCGCTGCCCCTGACGCACCTTGCACCAGTGGTGGAGGATACGCAGTGCTGTGGCCAGCCGTGGCCTCCACCAGGACACCCCCCCCCCGCCCCCGCTACCTGCGGCAGGTCGGAGCCACTCGGTGCCCTGTGCTCATCAAGCCTTGAAGCTGCCCTCTTCCCACCCCAGAGCTAAGGCGTTTCCTGCCTTGGTCAGAACTAAACAGACTGCGAGGGAAGAGGAAAGACAGGCGTAGGGGTACGTCCTGGAGGCCGATGGGGGCCCTGGGGGACCCGGAGACCCCAGGGGCAGCAGGGGGCAGTGGGGTCTGCCTGCCCCAGCAGGTGGGCCTGTGAGGAGGCCTGAGGTCTCCTTCAGAGGACAGACAGACCCTCCTGCCCTGTGCTAGTGAATCCTGAAGCTCTGGGATCCAAGGCCAAGGATCAGGGGTCAGGGCTGGGTCAGTCTTTATGTGGACGTTTCTGACCCAGGGACAAGCCGAGTCTGAGCTGATGACACACTCAGCCCTGATCCTGTTTCAGAGACTGACTCCCAGTCACAGATGAGCCCCATCCTGGTGTCAGACTGAGCCCTGACCTTGGTGTCACGGTCCGTGCCTCATCCTGCTGTTAGGTTGAGCCTAGGTCCTGGTGTCACACGCCAAGCCCCAACCCTGGTGTCACAGACGGAGCTTCCAATCCAGGGCCACACACTGAACCCGGACCCCAACACAGACTGGGTCCTGAGCTTCAGGTCACACATGGAGCCCGGATACTGGGGACAGACTCTGCCAGGCTCCTGGTTTGTCCCCCGTAGCCCACCCCCATCACTGCCCGGCCGTCCCAAGCGCAGCCCAATCTCAGTGTCATGGACTGGGTCCTCATCTGAGGACTGAGCCCCCATTCCAGTGTCATGGACTGGGTCTTTGACTGAGCCCCCATCCCAGTGTCATAGACTGGGTCCTCATCTGAGGAATGAGCCCAATCCCAGTGTCATGAACACACCCCTAACCTGTTGATCCCTGATCTGATGTCACAGACTGGTCTTCATCCCCTCTCATAGTTGGACCTTTGTCCCCATGTCCTGGGCTGAGCCCTGACCCCAGTGTCCTGGGCTGAGCACCATCAATTGCCAACCACAACTCCCGCTAACCTTCAGCCACCAGTCTCTCCCGTCCAGTCCATCTCTGTCTTAGGGCTGGTGTGTCTACCCAGCATGACACTTCGGTGGTCACTGTCCTTTTACTGCCCCTCCCCCATAGGCACCAGTCTCCTTAGAATGACGCTCAACACTCTCCGCAGCCTTCCCTCTCAAGTCCCCTCCCTCACGGGTCCCCAGCTCCCCATTCTGCTTGTGGCTCTGGCCTGTTCCCGCCTCCTTCCTGCCCTTCCTGCCGGAAGCTGAACTCCAATTCTGTGACCCGGCCCGAGGCGCTGCGTTCTCCTGGCCTTGCTCTGAGTTGTTATTTGCTCTTCCTGGACCAGGGCTCTGCAAAACCACGGCTCAGCAAATCTGGGTTCTCAGGCATCCAGCGTGAAACTCTTGTGTGTGTGTGGACCACGTCCTAGATGCCTGCCTAGGTGCTTCTCATTCTCCTGTCCCCAGTGTCCCCAGGAGTCCTCACTTATAGAGCGGGGAATGGAGGCTTGGAGAGGTACACTGACTCCACCAAGGTCACACCACACTGGCACAGGACAGAGCTGGGGTTTGAACACGTGTATTTCTGAATTCAAAACAAGGACTCACACCCACCAGCCTGTCCTGGGCCGTGTCGGGCTGGGCAGGGTCAGTGCTCACCGGTTTGTTGATGAATGGATATGTGGGTGGATGAGTGGATCGATGGACGATGGATGGATGGTTGGATGGTTGGATGGACGGACGGATGGCTGTATGGATGGAGGGCTGGTTGGATGGACGGACGGATGGCTGTATGGATGGAGGGTTGGTTGGATGGATGAACGGATGAATGGTTAGATTAGATGGGTGATGGTGGATGGACAGGTAACCGGCTAGCTGGATAGGAGGATGGTGGTTGGATGGCTGGTTGGGGTGGGCGGATGGGTGACTTGTCGGCTGCTTGACTGGCTGGTGGGTGGACAGAGGGCCCACGTTGGAGGACGGTGGAATGTTTTTGTCCAGAGGCAGTGATGTGCTACATTCCGAAGATGGCATTCTGAGGAGTTGCAGGGGGAGAAATGGAAGGAAGAGGGGAGGAGCCAGGCGGGGAGGACACAGGTGACCTACAGGACACCCGCACTACATAGGCACTCCCTGGGGAGCGGGGGAAGCGTGTGGTCAGAATGGGCCCCTGACTGCAGGGCTCAGTCCCCTCTTCCAGGGCCAACCCCGCGGCTGCCCTGGCAAGTCCCCTTAGTCCCGGGCAGCCAATGGCAGAGCTTCCGAGGGGCACAGCATGGCCATGGCTCTGCTTCTCAGGGCCTCCAGAGGAAGGGATGGTGCTTGGAGAGTCACTGGGGGGAGGAAAGTCAGGGATGGGGCTCAGCCGCGCTCGGCCCCCCTCACCCCTTGCCGCTCCCCAGGGGGCCGCCCACCCGCCTGGGTTCAGGTCCAGGGTAGCCTCCGCCAGCCCCGGCAGCATCAGCCATAAAAGGGTGTAAGAATCACTGTCAGTCCCCATGGCTCACTCCCCCACCTGGCAGCCTGTAAATCACGGCCTCCTCAACCTGCCTGGGGGGGAAGACACTGGCCAGGAGCAGAGATTAACAACAAGGATTAACAACAGACCTCCACGGGGACCCAGGTCACAGGGAGACACCACCGCCATCCACGGTTCATGCACTGATTCTTCAGGATTGCGTCCACTGATGGATTTTTATACCCTCCCCAGGTGCTTGGGCCGCCCACATTGGCTGCTTTATTTACTGATCAGAACCCACCACAAAGGTGACCCCAGAACAAACTTGGCTTCAAATTCTAGCTCCTCCAGCATGTATTTGCTGTGTGACCTTTTGAGTAAGTCACTCAACCTCTCTGTGCTCAACTTCATGAAGGCTCAACAACTGGCAGTAATTTCTACCTTTATGACCACGATTCTATTGCTTCCCGGTTCCCCAGCTTCCCTATTTCTTTCCAGCCCCAATCATACCCTCTGGTTCCCCTGACACTCTCACCTGCTCCCTGACCCCAGCACAGTGTCTGGTACACCATAGGCCTTCAGGGAGAGTCTGTGGGTTGAATGAGCTAATGAGCCTCATGCTGACCCCCTCCTTCACAGAACACAAGCCACCTCCAACAAGGACTTGGCTCACGTGGGCAGCGGTGGCAGGCTCGGTGAGGCTGAGCCGCACAGCTGGCCTGACCAGGAGGGGCTCCTGTTGGTGGGTGGAGGCACAGAGGCTGAGGAAATCTGGAGGCCATGGGTGCACGGCCAGCTCCTATCACAATGTCCCCCCATATCTCGGGGGGCCCAGACACCACCTGGGTACCCTCAAGAGCTAAACTCCCCCGAGAGTTAGAAAGGTCTTTGCAAAAACAGTTCACGGAGCCTTGGGGGATGTGATTCAGGGCCTCTCTGGTCCTTGCACAGGTAAACGGAGCCTCCTGCTTCGCAGCCACCTGGGCCTCCTGTCCTGCAGGGGTCCAGGAACCCACAGCAGGGGACCCCCAGCAAGTCAGCCAGCTGCCCCTGGGGGTCCAGCAGCCAGGTGCAGAGAGTGGACTGTCTTGCAAACTACTGGTCCAGGGACAAGTCCCTTGAGGAGCCCAGGGAGACGCTTTCTCGGAGACCAGCGGGGGCCCACAGGTCAGTGATGTTCCCAGAGCTCGGGCGATCGGGGGTCATGGGATCTGGGGCGGCTCAGGCAGTGTCTGTTCCCCAGCCAAAAAAAGGGGATTGTGAGCTGGCCGCCCGGAGTCCCTTCCCGAGTGGATGGTGCCCGCTGGTCACCGCCTGCCGCTTACCTCTCTTGAAAGCCCACCGCTTGAGCCACAGCTTGGAGAAGGCCGGCCAGGAGTGGTTGAGCGTGGCGCCTGCCATGGGGCCCGAGTGAGAGTGATGAGCAGCCCGGCGAGGAGCTGGGAGTGGGGCTGGGAATCCCTGCCAGGACCCGCTGCCAGCAAGGGGCGGAGACTGCAGCCAGGGTCTGCCAGACGCATCAGCTGATGGGAGCCCAGGGCTGGGGAGGAGGGCCGGGTTTCCAGCTGGGGGGCCAGGGGACCCCAGGCTCTGGGGGGCCAAGCCCTGAGCGCCCGGATTACCCAGTCCCAGGGCCTCTCGCCCTGGCCAGACAAGACATCATCAGGAGAGAACACGTGCAGCCT